CTGTGTAAAGAGATTCTGAAAGTTTCAGGACAAAAGATTCTCTCACTTTTTGTCCTGATCCATTTATATTAAAACCTGTCTGAAAAAGAGCTGATCAGATTTTGGTCACTTTATGATGTCATGATTTTTTGGCTTGTGACCTCAATGGTGGATACGGCCCTGTTCCCCGCCCCACCACTCTTAACAACGTTAACAGACAGCAGAGCAGTGGGAGCCGGTTGGTCAATCTCCGACCCGTATTGAGCATGCGCAGATCTAAGATCCAGTAGAAATTATTAAAAAGTAAAAGTCTGCTGCTTATTGTTCTACTAGGCCAAAATAGAGTCAAAGAGTATATGAGAGTGAGAGTGTGTTAATTAATATATTTGGCAGTTTGGAGTAAGTCTGTAGATTTGTTTGTGTGTGTGTGTTTCAGTCCCTGTCTACATTAGCCAATCACCAACCAAGGTAACCCCCCCCTCCCACACACGCACACACACCTTATCCACTTCCTGCCCACTACCAAAGAGCAGACGGACAAAGTTTGCGACATGCTTGTAAACATTATTTTTGCACCAAAAAAAACATCTTTCAAGAGGCAGAGACCACAAACAATAGTAAATGACGTAGCAATTATATTTNTTGGGTATAAAACTTTTAAAAGGAGGGGTCTGAGCTCATGCGGGACCCGGCAGCTACTGTCTAAACTAAATACTGCCGTGATGAAACGCCATATCATGGATTATTCCATGATATGGCGTTTCATCACGGCAGTATTTAGTTTAGACAGTAGCTGCCGGGTCCCGCATGAGCTCAGACCCCTCCTTTTAAAAGTTTTATACCCAAATCAGCACTTTTGAAACAGGAAGTGAAATAGAGGGATATGAGGCATGGCTAGAATGGGTGATCTGTTTGGTATTTTGAGCAAAACACTTCATAGACCTGTTTTTTATTTATTTTTTATATATCTGAGGCCTATGCTATTGCCTAAAGATAGCATGATAGGTCCACTTTAAAGTAGTGCTGAGATTGTGAGGATACTGTAGATTTGACTGTTGATGCTAACACACATTTTGATAAATAATCTTCAGTAATGATGACCGAGTAGAAATACAAGTACAAACAAGAGCAGTCTGGTAAGTAAGAAAAGTACATCCAGTTCTGTGAAGCAGCCTTTAGAACCAGGAAACATTTGTGTGCACATGGAGTGTGTTTTAAAGTTTCTGGCCCTCTGTCTGTGGATGGATACCCCGTAATTATTAGAGCATAGCAGAGATTGTGTTAGTGAAACGTGTTTGCTTAGGCAAAGCAATGCGGGGGCAATTTTTCAAAAAGATGCTCTGCTGCCAGACTTTGACATGCTGTTGTTTCAATGCAGTAAGGAGGGGAAGAGTTCAGACATGCAGCTCATTTGTAAAAGTGTCTGGACGCAGAAAGGATAACAAAAAAAGTTGCTGGAATATAACGTGATCGTGTCTACTGATCCTACATAATAAACGATGCAGGCGTATAGAGGGGTTTTGGTTATATCAGTCCTGTTTGCATGTGTTGCTAAGCAGCATGAACTTGGGTTTGACTCTTCAGCTCGATTAGCAATGACAGTAACACGACCGGAAAACAATTTGCTCACGAATGATGCGTTCAATATCTATTTTATGAGTCATTGCTCCATCATCTCTGGTTTTGTTTGACCCTAAATCCTAAACACACACAGATGCACCTACAGACCTACTCACAGTGCTCCCCCATTACTAAGACTTCCGGTATTTTAACTGCAGAGGAGGCTGGCTAGAGACAATATTGCAGTGATTACCCGACAGCTGAAAGCCATTGGAGGGAAGTGAAGAGGAGAGGGGGGGGAGGTCCAGAGAGGGAGAGAAAGAAAAAGGAAAGTAAAGAAGCGACAGACAAAGGCTGAGAGGCAGGAGGAAGGGATGGGAAGAGTTATACAATGATAAAAGAAGAAAGTGAGAATATAGAAAAGAGAAGGCGATTAAAGATTCATTTGGCTCGGAGCCTGGAGGATGAGGAAGGTGGAACACACCGAGCCTGTACAGCAGATGTTTTTAAGTTATCAGTTTGCCTTGAAGAAGGAATGACCACAACAACATTCATCCACTTGTGTGGGTTTCTTTCCTTTTTTTCAGGACAATATTTGTTTTCTGAAGGTTTTTGTTTCTCATCGTTCGCTTCCTGCTAAGGGAAGAGAAATGAAAACGTAAATAGAACTTAAAGCGCAGGGATGCAGATATCAAAAGCAGGCAGAGGAGGCCTAGATTACATTTCAACTCCAAACACAACTGAGAGGATTGCATTGCAAGGGTCCAGCCTTTTTCCATTTATATGTATAAAAACAATTTTCTTTTGGGAACCCTAGTGCCTGGCGCCAGCATAACCTCTGTATAATAAACAGTGCTAAATAATTTGGATGTGAAGGAAGCTTGGCGAGGAGCAGAGCCGCGGTGCAGCGCTCACAACACTTGAGAGTGAGTCTGTGCAGGGGGAAGCTATTGGTGCGTACACACACTACTCAGGTCTCTACTGTCATCTCCAATCAGTATTAACATTATGGAGGATGACAAAGGACTGGTGTGTTTAACATTTGTAAATCATGATTGTCTTTAAGAAAACTAGTCCTAAGACATAAACTATTAATGACCAATTCCTTATGAAAACCCCCAGGACTTCTTCACATTAAGAGACAGGCTTAGTGCGTTGGTGTTCGGATCAGGGGAGCACAGGTTCAAACCCCACTGCAGTCAGCATGTCGTTGTGTCCCTGAGACACTTCACCCCAAAGTGCTCCTGTGGGGATTGTCCACAGTATTGAGTATAGAAGTTGCTTTGGATAAAAGCGTCTAACAAGCAACATGTAATGTGTGTCATGTGAAGGGGTTCTACTTGTTTTTCGTCCAGCATGTATATTCTTTATACTGGGGTCAATATAAATTAGGGCCTAAAGAGCCCCGGCCTATGAATAGGTCTGAGACTTAGAGGCCAATTCACAAAGAATGTATTGCATCCGGTGATTCCCAAAAACGTTGTGTACTCTATACTTTGCATTGGTTGTTTTTTATAATAGCTATTAAAGGAGAAAACAAAACTTGCTCCTACTTTTAGCTCTGTTTCTGGTCCCTACTAACTCTTTAGCTGCCAGGTTTTTTTACTTTCCTGAACTTTCTTGCTGGGTCCAAAAACAATTTGATACGAGTAGTGAGACTTAACCGGCTGTAGAACCAACATTTTTTGCTAAAATACATTAAGGGTGCATTCACACCTAATAGTCCGTTTTCTGGTGCGCACCAGACCACAGTTTGTTACATTGTTTCATTTTTTTCACGGAAATGCTGTTCAACCATTGGTCAGACATTAAGGGGGTAAAAACGCAAATCCCGGCAATTTCTAGCGGAGCCTCCGCCATGGAGCATCGGCACTTTCGGCAGGTTATTCTCATGCTGCTGTTAATCTGGAGATCAACACACTAGCGACCCGCGCATATGATTATATAATCAGACAACGTCCGTTAAAAAACATTATTTATAATGTTTTTTAACGGACGTTGTCTGCAGTAAGGAGGGGCGTTTCACCGACGACAGGTGTTCTTACTTTTATGTAGCTGAAGGATAATTTTTACTTTACACGACACTGTTCAACACTTCATTCTGCTTCACTCTTTACCCAAACAACCGCGAATGTCTTGAAAGACTCTTTCGCTAAAGATTTTGGACTGCGTTCACACCAGCAATGAACCGCTCCAGAGTTCGCAAGCAAGCGCTCCGAGACCACCTATTTTAGCGGACCAGAGTCCGGTTGTTTAGTTCACTTAAGAGGTCTCGGACTGTGTTCACACCGACCCAAATGAACCGCACCAAGCGGCTAAACGCACCAGGGTTCGATTCAACTGGACTATACAAGGCAGGTGTGAACGCACCCTAACACTACCCGTAGAACTGGGTGGAATAATACAGATTCGGTAGATAATTGTGGGTTCGTAAGCAAGAAGACCGCACATATAAGTAGTGATGTATTCCAGTGTTAATAAGGACATATTGATAAAAAAAAAAGTGTAAGGAGCTGACACTTCCCCCACCGTTGTTGTTGTTGGGTACAGAATATACCGAGTGCCACATTTTATTTCACAAGCTCCTTCCCGTGTTGACTCAGGCGGTCACTACGCCGTATTGTAGTCATTATTCTTTGGTTACTGGAATTGTGGGAAAATACAAAATACCAGCAACGCTTTGGATCTAATAGGCGGCACAATGTGAAGATATAACGTCATTCCTGCTGCATTACAGGACACTTGAATGTAAAATGAAGGATGGATCAGGAGTGGTAAAAGCACACTTCATCCCCATGGTTACAAGTTTAACATGCAGCTCTGTTGTACTTGTTTTAAGAGTGAGTGATGGGCTAAATGGATGTGAATGTAAACACAAATGAGGTGAATCAAGGTGTAGCAGGAGCAAAACTTGAGGGCTGTTGCACAAAAGACAGATATGACAGATTGTGCTGGGTAAAGTTATACAACCTGAGCAGGACTTGTAAAGGTTTTATAGTTTATAGTGGAAACAGAAAGGTAGATGCGTCTTGATGAGGTTTGTTTGGGTAAGTATTGAATAGGAGACCCCCGGTGCAATTCAACTCTCTTACAAAGGTGAAATGATAGTTTCTGCCAATGGAGGAGAACGTACTTATTGTATGTTTAATACATAAATAAATGATAATAATTGTCTACCCGTGTGTCATGTTTCCGACGAATACAGTAACTACTGTAGAGTTTGAATTCCAGTGATAACTTTTCCCACTAGAGATAAAGTCGGGAGTAAGTGGGGGTTAGTTGTCCTCCAATCATGATGTCGTAGATAATCCTGAGGTTTACGAAATATTAGTTACCAGAAATTCAACAATGTGCTTCCCCGTTATTCTTGTGACTGATACTAATTCTGTGTGTGTATATTTCCAGTTGTGGTATTGAGTGTGTTTCTCACGGTTTTAGAGAAAGTTCCCTCTTGTGACCAGGAGCGAGAGAGCGCGCTGGACGAGGCTCGGCAGAATCCTCGAGAGGCCATTTTCATCCCGGACTGTGGCCCCGGGGGTATTTACAAAGCGGTCCAGTGCCACCAGTCCACGGGCTACTGCTGGTGCGTTCTGGTGGACACGGGCCGGCCCATCCCTGGAACATCCACCAGGTAATATCAATTCAAAAAGATATTCGGTAACGAGTGCTTAAGACAAGTTTGATTCAAGGTGCTCTTTGACTAGGGATGGATGTAGATCAAAACATCTGACAACCAGGTTATATATTTGATCAGAAAATGGCCAGTGGGAATGACTATTTGATGTTGTCATAGCTTGTCAACGTTTCTTCAAGCAAAATGCGTACGTTAGAACGCTAATATGGTCACAATTATAATGCTAACGCTTGTTCTTTTTAAGTATAATGTTTACCATGTTGTCCATCTTTGTTTAGCTGGTTGCATGCTAACATGATCTAATTAGAACTAATCATGAAGTATGGTATTTCAGAGCAATCTATGAAAAGGTTTATGAAATATTTCAGTTTGGACTAAAGTGTTGGACCAACCAAACAGCAGACCAATATGGAAATCCCTAGAGCTAACGGCTAACAGCTAATTTAACGGTTAAGACCTTACATTTCTTGAGAAATTCAGCTGCTGCTGCTGATTCACTTGAACAATTAACTTTGAGTCCTGATGGGAAAATCATATAACTGACCATAAACACAGCGCTTGGTATGACGTTGGTTCCCGGTGCAGCTTTCTGTTTATCTTGATTTCAGGGAAGTGGTGGAGGCACAATGGGTTTTTTGCTAGAGCTGTAAGTCAAAGGAATGGAGATGATGCAATGTTGAATCAATGATCCTCATTGCTCATGGTTGTTTAAAAATAGGAATATTACAACTTGAAACACAGTGTTCGAAATAGGGAGAGAGATTGAATGTTTAAAAAATCTGTCAGTATGCACCGGTGAATAGATGAGATGTTTTTGTTTCTGAAGGGGCATGATCGCTCTCTCTAAAGAGGGTTTATGTTTTACAGTCTGAGCTGCAGACCATCAGAAAGAGTTAGTTGGCGGCCTTAGTAAAGCTTGAATGCAAGAGAACGCAGGATTTGTTTTAAATCAATTTCATAAAAGCATATCCACAGCCCCCCAAGAAAAGCTAAAAGAGATCCCTAACAGACCAAATTCTCATCTGAGGTATTGAATGACACCCTCGAGGCGATTATTTCCTCACATAAGAATTTATTGTATTTTGGACTAGACCTCAATTTCTTTCCTCTAGACAGCAACGTGCAGAGTCATGCATCAGACATCCGTTCTTGGATCAGTGGCCTTGCAGAAAAAAGAAATGACAACTTGCTTTTACTTTGAAATTGAAGAAAAAAAGCCAAATGAAACGCACATGCTCAATTTTCCATCCTATTCATGGAGAACTGATACAATAGCCAGGAAAAAAACGAGTCATGCAACGCATAAGGCCCAACAGTTTGTTATGGCTCCGAAAACAAAGCTGTGTGCACGTCACATCAAATTAATGTATTAGGCGCATATAGAAACAAAGGGTAATCATTATAGTAATAAGGTGTCGCTTTAAGAAGCCATAAAACAAATGCATGATGGGAAAAAATATGGGAGAGTGCTTTGACAATATATTCTCCTATATTTTTTTTGTTGGGGTTTCTGTCTTCAGTTTGAGGCTTTGTTCATTTATTTTTCTCTGATTTAAATGTGTCAGCGTCTCCTTTGATATCTGGGGTTTTTCACACGTTACTAAGACGGGTTTATTCTTTCCTTCTTGTGTCTCATGCAGCCATGTTCCCGCTGTCCTCTCCTCTCTGTGTAACAGGTACCAGACGCCGGAGTGTGACGGCACGGCCCGCTCTCACGTCTCAGACACTGAAGACCCCTTCCTGGTCAAAGACCTGCCAGGTTTGTGTTGCTCACTTTTTAGGGAGTATCAGAAAGATTCTTGGAATAATTTAACTTGCTCAACCCATATTATGAAACATTATGAAGTTGAAATATTCCCTTCCCAGTCTGTAAAAATGTTCTGTCACATAAAAAAAACCGATTGACTTCGAGACGAGGGAACTGGATAAGTCTTTTGGGGTTTTAGGACTCATTCCTGCACAACTCGCTGACCAGAAGATGGCTTTAGAAATAGATAAATGAAAAGCGTTGAAGCTCAGAGACTTCACACTAACTGACCAGATAGAGGGTTTTTATTGGGAAAGGACCAAGTCTCACTTTGTGGTTTAGGGTTCCCAGGCAGCAGAGATCAGAGAGGCTCTTCTGAAGCAGGGGTTGTAACCTCCTCTGCCCTCGTTCCTGCGCTGCTCACTTACTTTTGTTGCCCCTCTGTTTCCCCATCACTGCATTGTAACTCTTATTTAATTCCCCATCTGGTGAGTTTACAGAGTGGAGCATGACTCCTGACTGTGCAGCAGATGTGTGGCATGTTTTATGGAAGGTGTGAGTGTTGGGGGTGTGGTGCTGCCGAGGCTTTTGGGGGCGGGGGCAAGGCGGCTGCTGCTTGGGCAGACCCCACAGGCAACAGGTGGGCTGAGTCGAGATTATTTATCGTACTCTAGAGGGACGTTCTGGAATCGCCCAAACAAAAGCTCAATATTCGTGGGTCGTCACCGTGCTGTCGAAGGCCAGAGGAGAGAAGACATGCTGGGAGGATCGGCAGCTTGTTGAGCAGCACATTAGCAGGCGGTTAGCAGCGACGTTAGCAGAGGGACGTTAGCAGAACGTTAGAGCAGGACGTTAGCAGCGTGGTTACGCAGGACGTTAGCAGCACCGGGATTTAGCAGCACGTTAGCAGCACCGTAGCAGGACGCGTTAGCAGCCACATTAGCAGCAGCGTTAGCAGGTACGTGTAGCAGCACGCTTAGCACACGTTAGCAGGAACGTTGCAACGTGTTCACGCGAGGCACGTTGAGGCAGCACGTTAGCAAGAGATTTTTTTTTTAAAGAGTTTCAAACTCATTAAAAAGAAGATCGAGGCTGTAAAGGGGGCCGCTAATGCTTTTGGGGTTTACCCTTTTCCTGTGGTGTGTGTTAAAGGTTGTGGCTGCATGTAAATTGGTCGGCAAAGACTAAGGGAAAACGTTGNACGCTGCCTGTTTCTGCAGACAGTAGCAAACCGCTTGTGTGTTTGTGTGTGTGTGTGTGTGTGTGTGTGTGTGTGTGTGTGTGTGTGTGTGTGTGTGTGTGTGTGTGTGTGTGTGTGTGTGTGTGTGTGTGTGTTTGCTAACAGTGTGTATCCACAGTTGTTATGACGGAGTGTATCATGTAGCAGCCTCAGTATCTGCAGCCTTTAGGTTTAATATGTCTCACAAGCCTGAGTGTGTTTGACACTGTTTTGAATTGGCAGGAGCTGTTTTTGGCCTCCGGGGTATTTACAGTTTGAATGACATGTTGTGGGATGTTTTTGCCAAAACTGCGCTGAGTGTGAGGAAATGCCAGTTGTGTCAAAATGTTACGTTACATGAAGGGCTTTACTTACATCATATAGATAGCTCTTGTTCGTATGTTTTTCAATTTGAACAAAGAAAAAAGAGTTAGTCACACACACAGAATGAGACAAAACTAAACATTAAGCATCTACTTTGAAAAATCTCCATTGCAAGTACTTTTGAAGAAGAGTAAATATAGAGATTATATAATTTACTCCTGTGTCCGATAGTAACACTCCTGGTTAAACATTAAGCTGTCTGTCTGTCTGTCTGTCTGTCTGTCTGTCTGTCTGTCTGTCTGTCTGTCTCACTCACTCACTCACTCACTCACTCACTCACTCACTCACTCACCAGGAAGAGCCTTATCAAGAGTATCCTGGAAGCAGTCGGTTAACTAATGGCCAATTGAGACTTGGTGTGTGTGTGTGTGGTATTTTCACACGAGTAAAAACAAAAGTATATCTCTGAGTTCGAGGATGACTCAACTGCTGTCATAATAGGTGACTAATAAAACAGACTTTTGTCATTGTATAACAACATCTGTTATTACAGTACTTCTGTTTGAACTTTATCCAATCACAAAGCAACACTGTCGTGGATATTGAATTTATATTCTACGGATAATTGTTTTTAAATGGGTTAATTATTTCCCTTACGAACTTTGACACCAGAGAATACGTGTTACATGGTAAACCATGGTTTGTGTAAAGCAACAACAGTGCTTTTTTCAAGGTTAGGGAACATTTTTGTTGAAATAAGATAAATGTATTGCTTCTGTCTCAACTTTCTGTTAATCTTGTCATGCTTTAATTGCCGCATGCACGTAATTGATTGCAAGTCTTGTAGGAAAATATATGAAATTCGATGGCAGTTAACACTTTGCAGATATTTTCATTTAAAACATTTCTTCACTTTGGTGATAAAAAAAACAAAATTTCAGGCAGCATTTTGTAGTGTATATATATATATTTTTTAAAACTTATAAGTGGTGAACAAACATAATTTCTGGGAGACTGTTGCAGACAGAATAGAGTTGCGCCTATGCGACTGAAAAGCATAAATGGAAAATGAAAAAAGATGAATAGGAAACCGTTGTAACTACAATCTTATAAATAATACATTTGGTGCATATATTTACTTTAGTTTTTGGTAGTGAGCTCTAGTTTTGGAGCCTTTTGCTTTTAGAATAAGAGAACTTAGAGTAAAATATGTCTTCATTTTTAAATTAACATGGACATGATTACTTACTTTTATTAAATCGATGATAGACGGAGGTGTGTGGCGCAGAGCGTAGTGCGTTGGTGTTCGGATCAGGGGAGCACAGGTTCAAACCCCTGGATAAAAGCGTAGTGTAATAGTAACATAGCAGGCCATGTTTGTGACGAAGATGGCTGTGAGGATTTCACCTTTGCTCTGATTTGATTTCCTCACCTCTGCATTAAGTAACATATCAAAGGTAATATTCTATTTATGGACAATCATTTTCATCTGTGTTTTACATTTCCAAAAGTGGTTAGAATCGTTTAATGTGTATATTTAACTTCAAATCTAAGCTATTTTGATGTAATTCCTCTTCTCTTCTCTCTTGCCCTTGTTGCATGCAGACTTAATTTAATTTCTCCCAGTGAAACGCTCTGTTCTTGCAGGTTGTGCTGATGTGGCTGACACTGTTCCACTCTGCTGCCCTCCGATCTAACATGGCAGCGACATTACCATCTCTATGTAAATTGCTCTTTGACACAGACACAGAGGGAGGGTAATGTGGGATAGGGAGTGCAGAGTGTTTATCAAACCTCTCAACCTCCTCCTTATACTCCCTGACAGGACAAATTACAACAGCCACTAAAGAGAGTCTGTTGTAGACAGAATAAAGACTCTTTCTTTGAGAGGAGAAAGTGAGTGTGTGTTTAAATGTGTGTTTTCTCCTCAACAAAAACGGGCCTGTTTGCTATCCTGGCTCCAAAATGGTTGAAACAAGCTCACAATTGATCTACACTTTCGTAAGATCTGTAAACCCACCTGTTTTTTTTTTTCATTGCAGCTTGGCCATAAAAAAATATCCCTTCTGTATGCAGCACTTAGAAAGGTTTGGCTTATGTGAAGCTAACATAGTACAATGAAATGGTTTAGCTTATTTGAAGCTAACATAGTAACGCTTAAAATGGTTAAGCTTATTTGAAACTAACTAGAAGTAGCCTACTCACAATGGTTTGCCTTACTTGAAGCTAACGTAGTAGCACCTGCAATGGTTTAGCCTAATTTAAGCTAACGTAGTAGCACCTGTAATGGTTTGCCTTACTTGAAGCTAACGTTGTAGCACCTGCAATGGTTTAGCCTAATTTAAGCTAACGTAGTAGCACCTGTAATGGTTTGCCTTACTTGAAGCTAATGTAGTAGCACCTGCAATGGTTTAGCCTGATATAAGCTAATGTAGTAGCACCTGGAATGGTTTAGCCTAATTTAAGCTAACGTAGTAGCACCTCATCAATCAATCAATCAATGTTTATTTATATTGCCCAATATCACAAATGTTAAATTTGTCTCAGTGGACTTCACAGTTGCAATGGTTTAGCTTAATATAAGCTAACGTAGTAAGGCAAGGCAAGGCAAGTTTATTTATATAGCACTTTTCAACACAAGGCAATTCAAAGTGCTTTACAAAAAGTGAAAGACATTAAGAAAATGGCATTTAAAATCAGTCATTAAAAAGAAAAGATAACAACATAAACATTAAAAGAAAAAAATACATGGATAAAAGTTACTGTGCAGTTTAAGATATGAAGAGTTCAATTAAAAGCAGCGGCAAAAAGTAGCACTGCAATGGTTTAGCTTAATATAAGCTAACGTATTAGCACTGCAATGGGATGGTGTTTGAAATCTAATGTACTTAAAGCATTCTTGCTAATTTATTTTTATTGTAATTCCCTTTGGATAAAAGCGTCAGCTGATGTTTTTCTCACAAATGTTTCAATATATGTTTTACCCAAGATCACAATCCTCGGTCTGTCTGTGCTAATCCATGCACGTCATCACTAATTTCTTTAATTACCTATTTCTATTCCTTTTTTCCCTTGACTCTCAAAGATTAAACAAGAGCCGTGCTCATAACCAAAACAGGTAAAGACAAGCAGATATTAACTAGACAGGGCACTTGACAGAGGTTTTTAAAATACAGTACAGCGCTTTTTCCCCCGCATCAAAAGAAACCCAACAGCAGCATTGAAGGCAGATCTGTGTGATTCTCCAGCAGATGAAAGTGAATATGTAATTAACGTGCTATAATTGCTGGCAGTCTTTCTTTTTATTTCAAGATGAAATGATGCAAGCTCTCTCCCAAGCCAAGGTCAGGGGCCGAGCCTATGCGATACATATTTAATGTAGAAAGACAGAATGTGAACACATGTGACTGCTGATATTGAGATAGGCCTACTGTATTTTAAACATCATCCTTGGCGTCGGCTGCTCATTTCATCCTGTGAAATAAATTAGTCAGTCAAATAAATTCACGCACAGCATCTTTGCACTGTATTATTTATGACTTTCAATATGTCATTAATAAGAAATGTTTCTTATTTCAGTTTGCAGGGTCTCAATTCAGATAATTATTGTTCATTGCCCCAACTTCAAATACAATTCGTAAGCCAGACCACAACTAGAAATCACTCTACTTAACTTAAAAGTCTACCTCTGCTTTGTGAGCTGACGTGGTTTTCGTGGCTCGTTCTTCATTTTGAAATTGTTTCAGTGCCATGCTCTGTAAACCTTGTCCCAACCACCTCCTTGCATCACAAGCTCGCCGTAGACTTCAAATGCATAAATTGAGAATGATTTAGCTTACGATTTGCCCCTTCGAATCGACGCAGGCCTAAGACAAGACAGCATTGTTGGATGATGTACACCCCAACATATTGTGGTGAGAGAAGGAGCCAAAGATATGAGATTAAGCCGAGCTTTCTGGGCCGTCCGGTGCTGGCTGCAGGCATGAGATCATCAGCTGTGGCTCGGGTGGTTTGGCAGCGAGGGGCCGTGTATAAATTGTGGCAGGAGATGACAGAAAAGTCAGCAGAGACGTTAGCTGCAAAAAAAAGCGTGATGGTGCCGACACTGGCAACGGTTTGATCCTTAAATGCTTTATTTGATGGAATTAAGTCAACCAGAGTCATGCTTTGGAAGCATTTGGGGGGCGAGATCCTTCAAAGAATCAGAGAGTATTTATTCACTACATTATTATATTATAGTTTTGTGCAGTAGTTAGTCAGTAGTACCGGTCGTTAGGGAAACATGAGACATCCCAAATTAAAAGCTAATACATGGTCTGTCTTTATGATTGTACTAATATTTATTGGACACCTTTTTGTAAATGTAGGAATTAATTTTAGCTACAGTTTCTTTTTATTTTCAGCAACTTAAAATGTTTATTTGACATAAGATTATGTTTTTGCAGTCAATAGCTGTGTTTTTGAGAACCTTTAATGCAGCACGATTCATAGGTAAATTAAGTTAATTAAGTAATAAGGTGTTTCGGAGTAGTCTGAGAGATAAAGGGGATAACAAATGAAGAAGCATTTTTTATATTTTGTTAATAATAACTCTCTAAACGGGAAATAAACTACAGCATTGTACAGTACTGACTGAATTAATTTGACCTCACCTACCTTACCTAACCTAAAGAAGCAGTCAGCCTTGAACGAGCAGTAAGTGACGTACAGTAACTGTAAGAACAACACTCCTGCAGCTCCTCCAAGGCTTGACGGAAACTATCTCTTCCACATCTCAGATCTGTCAGTGCAACCAAACAATTAATTGCAGTTGCAAAGTATTTAATTTAAGATCAACAATGTCTCGGTCAATCAACCCCTCCCTCCTCACCTCGAGTCCTGAATCCTGCATGTCTCCCTCTTCACATAATGAGGAGACAGCGGGTGTCATGTCTGGACTCGGCACTCTGTTACTGACATGAGAGTTAGAGTATTAAATGGACTAACTGCAGGCTTTACTGTCGAGGAACACCGGTGTCTGAGCCCAATGATTACCGTGGCCCCAAACAAAAATGACATTTGTCTGACAGTAAAATTGGATACTAACCTGTCTGAAAGCTGTCTCCATTTGCCTAGAACAAACGTGAGCGTCAGCAAACAGTTTGACACACTTTCCCCTTGAATGCAAAGAGAAGGCAAAGCCATCCTCTGGCTCACGGTAATGGCCCCTCATTGTTGGCCGCAGAGGATGTGGCGCTATTCATACCGGTGGATGATTGAAAAGAAAATTGAATCCCTTTTGATGTGATAAATGTGTCTATTACTGAATTTGCACACAAAATGTCTGTGGAAATTATAGTGGGGAGGCAGGGCTCAGAGGAGAAAATACATAGGGATGGCATATTGGCTAGCTTTGATTGGAGCTGAAATATAAATATACTGTACCGGTAGATGTAATGAGTCCAAGCTCCCTGATTTTTTTCCACAGGAACTTCACAAATGAAAGGCCTTGAGAGCCTCAATTGTGAGACTATATAAAAAGGTTAAATGTCTGCATAGCTCTCTCTCTCTCTTTTCTCTCCAAAGACATGTGTGATAAAGGACACCAACAACTGTTTGCCGTGTAATAAAAGGACATTTTCTCTTTTCAAAAACTTCTGAAAGACGGCAAGAAGCCCGGAGAAGAAAGGAACCACGGCTTTTGTGTTGCAAGTGTTGCGCTGTGAAGGGCAAATTCATTTGAAATTATTAAGACACTTAATTAAGTGGTGCGATTTATATATTCATCAAAATGTTCTCTTAGTGGAAGGTAAAATAACCCTTTTCTTGCCATTTTGGAAATATCTGGAATGCAAGTATAATGCAATTTGCATTTTTGCACTTTTTATAATTTTTTCAGTTATCCATGTGTACAATTTCTAAACACATATGTATGTAATTCACATTTTGAAGTATTTGTATTATAATAATTTAACCAATACAAGTTTTTACTTGATTTACCTCAATAAGACTAAATGTCCTTTTTAAGGCCCGGACACACCAAGCTGACACCAAAGAACTGGCACAGACGGACCCCGACTGTTGTGTCTCCTCGCCTCTCCTTGGCCATGTGNAGGAACTATCGGAATTATTCCTGGTACTCAGGTGTGAAAGCGCGACTTGCATAGAGCTCCCTGAACGTTGGTAATAGACGAGTTGGGATCACGGAGAATTTCTCCGTGATCCCAACTCGTCTATTACCAACGTTCAGGGAGCTCTATGCAAGTCGCGCTTTCACACCTGAGTACCAGGAATAATTCCGATAGTTCCTGGGATTTTGCGTTCACACCAAAAAGATCTGGAACTAGAACTTTTTTCGGGAACCTTTTCAGTCCCTGCTTGAGAGGTGGTACTTTCCTGGGGAGGAAAAGGTTCCAATTTCAGATTGGCTGGGCGAATTGCAAACCACGCCCCGTAAAACTCCGAACAGTTTTGTGAAGCCGCCATTTTATTTGCTCGCATTATTAGCATTAGCCCAGCGCACCAACGGAGAGAGACTAATTTATGGCAACACAAAATAAAACGTGGGAGCGGTGGAATGATGAGGTGTCGGCGCTTCCGACGATTTACCCGGGACTTCGGGTGGCAGTATACGCCGTGAAGTTGTTTGCAGCCTGCCAGTAAACCCAAAGCAGAAGAAGAAGAAGTGACGTCAGCGGCTTCATTTGCGTAATCCTCC